GCAAAACCTCTTATGCAGTTTGTGGCAGCATTCCTAGAAGTCTACATATGTGTTTCTTCTGGTTATGAATCAATTTTGTGAGTCTGGCCAGGATATCATGCATGTGAATGCACATTTGAATTCCTGGCAGTGTGCATCTGTATGTGTACACGTGGAAGAGGGGAAGTGATATGGTGGGCAGGGAGAACAGACTAGAACTGCCCTCTGCAGCTGCTCTCAGGGTTGTCCTGGGACTGGGTCTGCTGGGTCAGAGCCCTGTTAAGCCAACAGCACCCTGGGGAGCAGGCTCCCTTTTCCAGCATGTGTCACTGGTCAGGGAATCCTTGGCTTGGGGCCTCAGCATTCCCCGACCCCTCAGCCATCTCTCCTCGTAGGGGACCACCATGTCGTACAGCTGCAGCTCAAGTCAAAGGAGACTGGCATGACCTTCGCCAGCACCAGCTTTGTCTTCTACAATTGCAGCGTCCACAATTCGTAAGTGGCCCCTGCCTTACCCCACTTCCTGTTCCTGGGGTCAGGGTTCATCCAAAGATCAGAAAACCCCATCACTGTTCCCAGGGAGTCACCATTTAGAAGCCCCAGAGGAGACCTCCTTCACCCTCTCTCCTCTGGTACCCACAGGGTTAATAGAAAGAGACTAGAAGAGCAGAGAGTGAGAACTTAGGGAGTGGGGCTCTCCACACCCCTAGCGCATTCATCTTCCCTGACATCAGTCCTTCTAACTCAATTCCATCTCCACCATCTGTTGTGGGGTGGTGCATCCCACGTGAAGAACAGAGAGCAAGCTCCATGGGCAGAGGATGGATCTGAGGGAGAGAGGCCCTGATGTGTATCCAGGACAGGGGCAAGTGGTCTAACCACTCAATCGCATGTTCAGCTCCCCACAGGCCCCTCAGGCTAGGTGGGGACAGTCTGGTAGGGGCCAAAGGGAGGCAGAAAGGTATGGGGTGGGCAGATTCTGGCTCAGGGGTCTCCAGCTCCAGCTTTGTTTGACTTGAGCATCCAACTTCCAATGGCAGGTGGGGAGGGCAGAGGCTCTGGCTCTGCAGCCGGACCAACTGGGAAGGTCAACCATTCTGTGCCCCAGTGTCCTCTATCCACAGGGAAATCGTAGTGCTCCTTCCCAGGGCGTCACGCAAATATATACCAACTGACATGGCAGGAGCACTGTCCCATCAGAGCAGTCATTGGCTGGGATGCTGTGCTTGGCTGCTAGCCCTGAATATCAGCTCTGCCTACCCCATAGGACAGCCACAAGGGGTAAAAGGGCCATGCTAAGAAGAAGCATTTAGAGCCATGTCTGGCCCAGTGTTTAGGCACCACATGTTCTTGCTATTATTATATTATCTTTTCTTTATCAAATGATGAGTTTGAACCAGGTTGTGAACGGGCCAGCCTGTTTTTCTTTTCACCATAGAAACCTAAACTGAAAGTAGGTGTAGATGCCCAGTATACAGAATAGATGGAAGCAGGACCTACTCTAATTAAAGGTTGGGGGGCCTGGAACCCCTCTAGGAGCCCCACAAAACTACACATTCTCCAAAGGAGCTCCATGGCATCCCCAGAGTTCCACAGAGCAAACCGTGGGACCTGACCTCAAAAAACCCTGCTTGCTTTAACACACTCCTGTTTTGCAATCCATGCATGACATGACAAGAGACACTTTGGGGATCTAGGCTGGTGGAATTTTAGGGTCTATTGATCTGCTTATGGCAGCTGTGAGTCTAAAGCTTAGCTCTCTTTGGGGCCGCAAGTAAGAAGGCATCCAGCCCTCCCAGACAAAAATGAGTTGCTCTAGCCCTGGGACTCTCCTCTTGCCTCTTGTGACAGAGCTGTCCCTGTCTTTACCAGACAGAGCTGTCCCTGTCTTTATCACTCGGTGGCCTAATCCCTCCATCCTCTCTTTCCCCTCTGGGGAAGCAGAGTAAATAGGTGAAATCATGTGTGAAGCTTCCATTAAGCCCATAAAATGATTTTAAGCATCTCCTATGTGCAAGGGAATGTGTTACTCATTAGACACGGTGGAGTCAAAAATCAATGCAACACAAAGACTCAATCCTTACCCTCCAGGAGTTGATGGCCCACGGACTAGTAGAGGAGTCGGACAGGTAATGGTGAGATGGCCAGGACTTTCCCAGAGATTTCAACCAAGAGATTCACGGGAGAAGGGCCCAGGGTGACCAGCTCTTCCTTGGTCAAGCAGGTAGTCAGGTGGTGGAAAGAAGAAATAGTGCTCTGGAGGGAGGGATGGCTTGTGGGGAAAGTGTGGCCTATTCATGGCCAAAGCAACAAACCTGCGTTTGGGGCAGTGGTCATCGACACCGTGAAGGGCATAGCCTGTATGAAGAGGCATTTGAGTTTTTGGAAAAAGGAACCATGTTGAGCTTTTAAGCAATCAGGAGCTCCTATAAAATTGCCTTGATTTCCTGGGGTAAAGGTAAGGGGTGGGGTTGCCAACCACAGAGGAGCCATCATAGTGAGCGAGCAGCCTCAGTCACTTCCTCCTGAGGCAAGGTCCAGGTGGCTTCTCAGCAGCAGAGACCCAGAGTCCATTTGAATACAAACCTAATCTTTTGTTTGCCCCAATTCTTAGGTCTCTCTACACAGCCCTCTACTCCAGACCTTATCATTCCCTCTTTTGAAAAGGAGGATATTATCCCATGGAGATGGAGGAGGGCTAATTTGGCCTTGGGGGACCAGGGTTGTCAGCTACATATGGGAAAAGAAGGAAACCAGAGACCATTAGCTTCCTGAGGTCTTGGGGAGTAAAGGGATAGATGTGCATAAGATCTGCCCTTGCTGCGCATTTCACGGTGGTTTCTCTTAATACTAAAAATGTTTTGCTAGATCCTAGAGACTCAGGCCCTCTGCTTTGGGCTCATCCAGGTTCTTAGATTTGTGCCTCCCTTCCTCTGTGCCCAGGTGCCTGTCTTGCGTGGAGAGTCCATACCGCTGCCACTGGTGTAAATACCGGCATGTCTGCACCCATGACCCCAAGACTTGCTCCTTCCAGGAAGGCCGAGTAAAGCTGCCCGAGGTAGGTCCCTGGCAGCCAGAGTGGTGAGTGCCTCTTGTTGTGAGCATGGGACACAGAAGAGAGACATTCCCTTAAGAGGAGAAACCAAAGGAAAACCGTGCAGGACCACCCCCTTCCTCCTGGCTCTTAAGGGTCCACTTTATAAAAGCAGGAAATATGCCAAACTCTGTGCTGGGACTGTGGGTTCTGGATCAGCCCTGGAGGTTCTGTTATAGACAAAGGTGTATTCCAGGTCATTTCAGCAAGAAGGATCCTTCACACACCAGATGGGTCCTAGAAAGATTCCAAAGAGATGGGTGTGTTGGTGTGTCCTAGAAATTATTGTGGGTACACAGCAGGACTGTGTCCAGACTCCTCAGCTATTCCTCAGGGCACTGTTGACAGAGGAAAACTGAGACCCCCAAAGAGGGCAAGTTGAGTAAAAGGGAGAGAGATGAGAATAAAAAAATGGTCAACTTGTGAGCTAGAGCAGTGGTTTTCAAAGCATGGTTCCCAGACTAGCAGAATCTGCATCAGCTGAGAACTTGCTAGAAATACAGAGTCTTCTGTTCCAGCCTAGGCCAACTGAATGAGAAGCTCCGGGAACAGAGTACAGCAACTTGGGCTTCAACAGGCCCTTTGGGCTTCAACAGGCCCTCCCTGTGGTTCTGATGCTTGGACCAGGTTGAAGAATCACTGAGATACTGTAGGCTAAAATGTGACCTTTCTATTTCCTCTGAAGTTTTTTTCTTCTTGAACATTCATCATCACTGCACCAAAAATACTTTCTGCCTATGCTGTTATCTCTCTTAGAATGTCAGAGTGTGGGCAAGGACTTCAGGGATAACAGGTGTACCTCTGGAAAAGTCTGTTGTTCAAACATGACGGTGTTTCTTGCACTCTCTCAGCCAGCACTGGACTCAGCAGGCTCCAGCACCTTCACCTCCACCCCTAGTCTTGGGTGTATCTTTCAGACCCCTTTACACACCACACAGGTGTCATGACCATGTGGCCAGCACCACAGCTGTGAGAGAAGGGACCTGTCCAGGTGCAAGAAGCATAGGGGATTTGGTGGGGGGAGGGGGAAGGAGGGGCATTGAGAGAACATACAGGCCCATCAAATGCCCGCCTCATTCCAGACTCTTACCCCACTAAGAATCCTACCTTTGGCCAAACCCTCATGGCAGGAGAGAAGCTCTCTTTTATCTGAGGCTGAAAGGAAAGGTCAATGTACAACCCATGCTAACACCTGCTGCATGGGGCTCCCCTAGCACAGTGGGTGTGACTGCATTATGCTTAGCCATCAGAAAATCCAGGCCCAAATCCCATTTTTCCCAAGTCTTGATGGCTGAACAGGAGTTCTATAGGTGGACAGTAAGAAAGGTGATTCATTTTAGAAGTAAAAGCAAGGAGTGGAGACGTTGTCAAGGGAGAGGATGGTCATGATTGAGTAACAGACAAGGGGAGCAAACAAGAAAGAAAGAGTAGAAATTGGAAAACCTTCATTAAGATAATGAAATGACTAGGGACCTTTGGAAGGCTCCACATAGCTCAAATGTTTTGATTGCATTTTATTCTTGGGCCTCTTTGCTAGATAAAACCTTTGCTAGATACACTAGTCTGGAAAGCTGGTGAGAGGCTGAAAACCTTTGTCTCAGCTCCCATGAAGTTCCTTACAAGTTTCAGACAGAAACAAGAAGAGATTACGAAAGCCTCAGACAAAAGACCAACTGCCTCTCCATGGGAATCTGTTCATGCCTGGAAATGGCTACTATGGATTCACAGTCAGGAAAAGAGACCCTGTCCCTTTATAGGGAAAGGGAGGAGAGTGGTTGCATCTTGGATTTTACGTAGGAGTGTGAATCTCATACTTATGTGTCAGTTCTCTACTTTAAAAAAGACGACATGGATATAACGGTAGTAAGAGCGATGTGAGTCAGACAGCAAGGTAATGTCCTTGATAAAAGGCTGTACAGTCTCATCAGCCTGGCTGGGCCTGTCTTGGGGTGTGGTTTCATGAGCAGAAGGACTGGTTGACCCACCAAGGCTGGGGACAGGGATGTGAAAAGAATCGTTTTCTTGTTCTGGTCTGAAACCTGCAAATAATTTGATGGGAGTTAAGACAAAGTGGTTCTCAGCTTCTCTCCAGCTTTCCAGACTGCCGTGTTTGGCAGAGGTTCTATGTGCGGACAGGCCCAAGAGTGAACTGAAAGCAAAAACAATTGAGCTAGCTGGTGGATTCTGAAGGCCTCTAATCATTTAATTATCTTGCAGGAAGCTTTTGAATTTCTGCTTTTTTTTTCTTGTTTGCTCTTCTTGTACCAAATTTCTTTCTTTTAAGTATAGAAGAGGAGCCTCCTTCTGTTGCTCAGAAAGAGGGAAAAAGAACCAGAAGAGAATAAAATAAGGCCAGGCACGGTAATCCCAGCACTTTGGGAGGCCAAGGTATGAGGATCACTTGAGCCCAGGAGTTCAAGACCAGTCTGGACAACATAGTAAACTCTCCCCAGTAGAAAAATATTTTTATTTTTTTCTATAAAAAGTAAAAATAAGTAAGTAAGTAAGCTGAGCATGGTGTTGCATGTCTGTAGTCCCAGCTGCTTGAGAGGCTGAGATGGGAGGATTGCTTGAGCCTGGGAGATTGAGGCTACAGTAAGCCACGAGCAAGCCACTACACTCTAGCCTGGGCAACAGAGCAAGATCCTGTATCCAAAAAAAAAAAAAAAAAGTGGGTGGGGGAAGAAGAATAAAATAAGAGGCCACCGTGTTTCCCAGGGCAATGCAGAGATTTTAGAGGAATGATGGCTTCAAGTACCCAGACTCCAAGCCAGTTGGGACACCCCTCAACACCTGACACAAGCAAAGACTGCCACAGATTCACAGCATCTTAGAGGATGGGATGCCAGGGCCCCAGAGAAAGGAACTAGTCTGGAGGAAATGGCCCAGAGAAGGATATGGAGCTGTATGTACTAAGCTCTTGCTGCCACACTGACATCCTCTCCATTTCCCTTGAGCCATGGTATGGTGAGCCTGGCAGGCCATGGCAGGGAGCGGCTCTGAGGTAGTTTGGAATCGCCCATGCCTCCTTTATCACATGGAATACATTTTGGCTGCTCTTTACCTTGGATGTTTATTTATTCTAAGAAAAGGAAGCTCTCCTGGGGTGCTTCTGGTCCAGGCTTGGAGGTTGCATTCTACCCAGCTCAATCCCAGGGCCATTTTCAATGTGAGCATAGAGGTGAACCAGAGTTGGCCAGCTGGTGATGGTGGTTGTAGCATCTTCCTAGTGAATGTGGCAAAGGGGAAACAAGTAAAGAAGTATGTGTGGACTACTGACTGACTCCAGCCACTTGGGGTCAGTGAAAGGAGGTCATTGTCCTCAGAACTCAAAAGACAGTTCCTGGCTGCTAGTGTAAATATGAGGATTTTTTTATGTTGTTGTTTGATTGTTTGCTCTAATTTTACATTCTACATGTATTTATTTTAGCAATGTACAGTCATGGGCTGCTTATTGTTGGGGATACCCTCTGAGAAATGTTAGGCAATTTTGTCACTGTGCGAACATCATAGGGTGTACTTACACAAACCTACGTGCTGTAGCTTACTGCACACCTAGGCTACATGGCCTAGCCTATTGATCCTAGGCTACACACCTGTGCAGCAGGTAACTGTACTGAATACTGCAGCCAATTATAACACAATGGCAAGTATTCGGGTATCTAAACATATCTGAACATAGAAAAAGCATGGTAAAACTACAATATTATAATCTTATGAGACTTCTGTCCTATATATAGTTTGTTATTGACCGAAGCATGCTTATGTGGAACATTACCATATATGTTTCTGGGAAGAGATAGTAGCAGGAGTTAGGGGTAAAAAGAAAGCTACCCAATTAAATGGTGATTTTGTGGAAGCCTCCAGACACCTGTGTGCTGTCACTACTCTAGGGGAAGAGCTTACTCACAGCACGATACTCTGAAGTTTTGTTATGATTTAACTGTTCATTCTTCATTACCCTAAGCATTTCAGCCATACTCAAGGCATTGTGAGAGGTTTAAAGGTATAGAAGATCTATGGAGATCTATGTTTAGAGATCTGTAAAATGAGGCCATTGGTCTACATCATCTCTAAAGTTCTGTCATTGTAAGTAGAAAGAAGTTGGAAAGTCCCCAAGATAAATCCATGCCCAAAAAGTGGTCAGAGGGCTGGCAGTTATAGGGTGACTGTCAAGTCAAGGCTTAGGTCAACCATCTTTACCTAACAGGGTGACCCATACCCTCAGGACCTGCAGTTCCACTGAACATCCAGCCCAAGGCCCACCCTTTTGGAATGAAGGTGTACCCAGGCCCTGGTGACTCTTCTGGAAATCTCTGGGGTTTTCATTTCCTTTTACCCTTTGAGTGAGCGGATGCAGACAATGTCCTTTTGTTAGCTAAGAGTAAGGCTGACAGGTGGCTTTTCATCTACCCGGCACCATCTTGCATCTCAGGAATGCTTTCATCTGTGTGTCTTCCATTTCAACAGTAGCTTTGTTGACTATCAGGGATATCGAATTACCTTTTTTGTTCCCCCTGAACAAAGAATGCGTTCAGGTGAAGTTATTGGTCTGGAACAGAGAACTAGTCAATCGTTGTTGTTATTATATTAATGGCAAGTATTCCACTATAATTACAATTATTAGAAATAGAATGCCCAATAACATATGCTGTTTATGGTAACTATATTCCAGTTACAAGGAATGATTTTGTTTCAACTAATGATGGCATTGTGATAACAGCCCTGGGCCTTCAGATCAGCTGCCAGAGCCTTGGGCAGCCATTAACAAAGCCATGCCCACCCCTCTACTGAGCAGCGGCAGCCACTGGTCCCCAGGTGGCTTCAGAATCCATCCCCAGCTCCTCCACAGGCCAACCTGGACCTCCCATCAGGCACACACACTTAATGATGATGCTTGAGGAACAAAGGTGAACTTCCTTGCAAAAGCAAATCCATTGGCAAGAATTTGTCCCTGATGGACT